TCAGCTAACGCTTCTTGTAGAGCTTCTCTGGTATCCTTCGAGAGGCGTAATAACTCATATAGCATGATCCTTGCTGGGATATTAGCTAACTGGGCCATGACGTCAAAACGGTAGGGAGCGTTTGAGCTTTCCGGTTTGTCTCGTCCAATTGGTCGATTGAAACGAGACTGCTTCGGAACTTGGACCTCTTTATGTTGGGGTTCCTTCTCTTTTTGCTTAGCCGGTTGTTGCGGCTTTTCAGCAGCTATTGGAGGAGTTGCAACTACCCCCAGCTCCTTCAGAGTTGTGGCATTTGGGTTAGAGGTTTCAGGATATTTATAATGGTATTCATTCCCACCTCTTGTAGCAAAAGATTCTTGTTCTTCGTCAGAAAGTGGCAAAGCTGAGATTTCTTCATCATCTTTCTCAGGAATTGCCGAGGCTCCGTAACAAGTCTTCTCTTTTCCTTTGCCTTTCACTTTCTTCTTCGACGTGGATGTCGTCCATTGCTCATCTTCAAGCAAATCTGGATGAACCCAAAGGATTTCACCGTTGGAGGTTGTGTGAGATACAAGCCCCTTCTGGCGTTGTCCATGAGGGTCATCGTTGATGGTTTGCATTTTTACCTTGGATACTGGTTCGGTTTGAAACCAGGACAAAGGAATTGATCCGAAGCTAATAGACACCGCATTCGCCCCTACTTTCTTCTCTTTCGGCTTCGGCGTCAAGATGCCAACATCGATTAAGGTTTGTATTTTGTCTTTTAAGACATAACACGCCTTAGTGGGATGGTGGACCCTTCTGTGATATGCACAATACTTCGGGTCATTGGTCTTTGTTGCTTCTTCTTGGTTTGTGACCGGTGGAAGCTTAATCTTGTTATTCTCTAACAGGTATTTGAAGATGACCGGAACTTCATCATCTTTGAAAGAGTATTCCTTCGGGAATCTGGGTTCCGAAGTCTTGGGTTGTCTCGGAGGTTGTTGATTCTGATTTGGCGCCAGTTAGAAAGACGATTGCTGCGGTTGCTGTTGTTGCGGCTATTGTGATGTTTGATGAGCATCAACAGCTGCCGCGGACCCTCTTCCTCTGCCTCGAGGATTAAAATTCTGCTTTTGATTATTAGATGTGTCGTCGTCGAAGAAATTGGTGAGGAACAGTCCTTCCATATCTTCCCAGCTAGTGATACTCCCAGGTTTAAGGCGTCGGTACCAATCGAAGGCAGGCCCGCGAAGGGTTCCTACGAATGACCGGACCATCAGGGCTTCGTTCCCGGATATTGCGCCGAGATGCGACTTGAAATAGATCAAGTGCTGAGTGGGTGAACCCCTGCCATCAAAAGGAGTAAAGTTAATCAAATTAAATTTTGGGGGATAAGGAATCAAGTCCCATTCCCTCGGGTACGGGTATGGAATGCCCGTTTTCTTCACTTCTTGAGCCGTCATCAGAGCGTTAACTTTGCTCTCGAGATCATGCATCTTCTTATCCTCTTCCTCACTCTTCTTCAAGTAAACTTGCGGAGGTTGAGTGGATGACTTGGTCGGACCGCTTCCGGAATTGTCTTTATCTGGAGGAGGATCGTCGAAGATAGTCTCATCTTCTTCATTACGCCGGCTGGATTCTGCTCTTTGGCTTGATTCCGGTTGATGTTGTTGAACCTACAAATCTCGCATCTACTGCATAGTCAACTCCATATCGGTTTTGAATTCAGCTCTAATTTCCTCGCGTTGTTTAGCCAACGCTTTCTGCAATATGTGTGCCAGTTGATCCGGCGTGATTGCGAATGATTCTATGACTCGCCCTACGCTGGATGCGGTACTGTCTGAAGCTACAGCAGAATAAGTGTCTGACAATTCTTCATCTAAAGATAATCATTTGTGCATCCTTTTGTAGTCTCGACGTCGGTTGGCTCTTCGTTGCAACCGTAACATTCTTTGAGAGAGACCCCGCTCAACTCTCCCTCCCGGAGAGAAATCAGGGTCGGGGTTGACAGACTGTTGCCTTCCTCTGTCGGTCATATTAATAGTGACCTCAGGGAATTCATCTTGTTGAATTGTCGGTTTCTTCTTGTTGAAACGCTTCATTTTGGGTCTTGACGTTTCATTGGAAAGCCTTTGGAATACGGAGACTCTTGTTGAATTATTTTTGGAGCATCTGCATTCTGTCAGCACCGCCTTAATGAGCCTCTCGCATGCGTAATGGGACTCATCTTCTCGGGCAATCCTTTTCCTTGAATTGTTTTTCTGATAGTACAGCTCGTCGTTATTATGACTTGAGCAACCTATCTTTTGTTTTTGAACTTTGTTAACATGCACAGGAAGGCTAGTCGTCGCCTCTGGGCAATCCAAAATTGAATTTTTAAATCCACCCCTTTGCGGGAGTGGGGTTTTCATAGGTCCTAAGCGAGAGTGAACTGGTATTCTCTCGTTCTGGACTTGTGCAGTTCTGATAGGAGGGTGTCTACGACCCCCTGTATATGAAACCACTAAGGGTTTATCTACTGAACTTTGGTTTTCTTTAAATGGGGCTTTGCCTCGATCGTCCACCGAAGGACCAAGGCGATCCGCCATCGTGATCTTAAATTTGGATAAATCTGGGCTAACCCAGGGTTTCACCGGTGGTGCAGTGGACGGGCCCGGAACGGATGTTTGTGGAGTTTTTGGCATCCAAACTTTACGGTTCTTTGGTGTTTTTTCAGACACCGTCTCCTTCTTGATTCCTTGTGCTTGTTGATGAATAGCACGAGCACGGGCGGCCTTCACCTGACGTCTTTGTATCCGTTCCTTAAGAGTTGAACGGTCCCTTTTGACGAGAGTCCACTCCTCCGTCGTAAGCTGTGCAGAAATGTGATTATTTTGCCGTTGAGGCAACTGATTCATTTTCTGTTTCCTCGACTCTAGGTCCGTATAGTAATGGACCCCGTCGGTTTGTTGCATGGCCTTAGCCAATTGTCGAGCATGGCGCTGGCGCTGTCTCTGGCGAGCCCTCTTCGTCAGCACCGGCGAGCTATGATTCAATGACTCCTTAATTGGTACAAAGTCACTTGGAGCAGAAACATTGCAGGCAGACTCCTTAGCAACGATCGGGCTAGAATCTTCGCCTGCGGCCTCCGTTGGAATTGCAGACTTGAAAGTTTTCTTAGAAGATGAAATCTTCCTATATTTGCGAGACGAGGAAGATTTCGCAGATGAGGATGACAAATACTCCTCAAATTTCGCCTGATCGAACTCGTATTCGATCTCTTCATTGACAACGATCTTGATCGGTTGCGACACCGCGACCTCGGCAGCGAGGCCGCTGGCTCCCACTGTGGTCGTCAGTTTGTTTTCGTCAAAAGTTGGTTCTGTTGAGGAATTCATTATATCTTCGTTTGATTACAACAAATTCAAAGAAATAGTCTTTTTATAAGATATTTTCTACACAACAAAGCAAAAATTACAACTTTTGAGAAAATAACACAAAAATCGTCTATCGATTCTTGTTTTTGTGGGACTTTGCCTGTGCCGGGAACGCTTTGGTTCGTGGACCGCCGAATTACAGATCGTGAAAGGGGTTTACTGATTCTGACTTCGTTTATCGAAGTGAGAACTTGAAACGATATCTTATCAAAGTAAGATAGTCGTTCTTCTTAAAATCAAGTCAAAGCTTAATTTTAAGGGAATCACACCAAGAACTCAAGTCTGCTCTCTCTGCTCTGAATTGCTCGAAAATATGCTCCATCCTCGTCAGAAATGACACTAGGGGGGTATTTATAGCCTCAGGGGACATAACTGCACAAAACTCAACAACATAACATGTTAAGGCCGCGAGACAGTGTTTACTGTCTCGGCGGGCGAGACAATGTTTGCTGTCTCGGCCCATGAGATAGTAAATGCTGTCTCGAAAAAAGCATCTTTTTGGCAGTTTTAGTTTTAACTGCCTTCACACGTTTCAAACTCCGTTATTTTGACAGTTATTCACGTGATTTTCGACCCACGATGTTTCTCCAGTCCGCCTCGCAGTTAATGGGCACGTGGGTGGGAGTTATTTTTAGCGTGTTTGATCGGTTTCAACACTGTCTCGCTGCGCGAGACAGCAAACCACTGTCTCGCTGGCCGAGACTAGCAAACACTGTCTCTGCTGGCGCAGACAGCTTCATATCTGTCTCTGTATTTTTTCTTCTTAAGGACAGGTATGAGGTGATTTTTGATGATCTTCTCTATGTTTGGGATACTCTATTTAGCATTTTTAAACGCCTACAGCCACTAGTCGGCACCCGTCGTCTCGCCCGCCAGTCGACCAGCACCCGCCACCGCCACCGACCGCCGCCAACCGCCGGCCGGCCCACCGCCGGCCACCCTCGCGACCCGTCGTTGCCACCGTCCTGCTACCACCACCGCTAGCTTCCGGCCACCCGCCACCGTCAGCCCGTCGGCGACCACCGACCACACCGCCAGCGCCGCCCGTGTCGGCCGCCGCGCTACCATCCGCGTAGCCGACAGCCGTCGTTCGCCCGGCACCCATCAGCTGGCCGCGGCCACCCGCCACCCGACCGCCGTCGTCCGCCCACTACCGCTATATAAATGGTCAAACTAGTTTGACCAAAATGATGTTTTCAAAACACATTTGAAAAAGAAACACCATGGCATGGTGTTTTTTACAAAAACACAACAAGAAAAAAAACCTTGATTACCAAACACACCCAATATGTAAGGTATGGTGTTCTGCTACGTACTTTGTTACTTAATGAATGTCAAAGATTAAGCTAGCTTCATGATTTCAAACGTCTCTTAACAAGAGGAAAGGTCTAAAAAGAACTTGCTTAATTTTATAACAAATTATAAAACTACTATTCTTTGTTACTTAATGAATGTGACACACAACTAATGTCAACGATTAATTTGTAGTACAACCATCCAAAAGTCAGATTTGTACTACACTATAATGTACATGCACTTTGTTCCTCCCAACTTATATGCGTACGCGTACGTACGCACACACACACCCCCACCTTATGTACATTCATACCTCGATCTCCAATTTGGTCATGGCTTCCTCGTTCATATTCCTCGTACTGTTACTGCCCTGGCAAGTCAACGCCCATGGAGGTCATGGCCATGGGGACGCCGACGGCCAGGACGCCGGCCTCAGGTCGAAAGGCCTCATCGCCGTCAAAATATACTGCCTCGTCATCCTCTTACTCACCACCTTCGCGGGAGGAGTCTCCCCCTACTTCTACCGGTGGAACGAGAGCTTCCTCCTCCTCGGCACCCAATTCGCTGGAGGAATTTTTCTAGGGACGTCCATGATGCACTTTCTGTCCGACGCGACGGAAACCCTCGGGGATTTGACGGACAAAAGCTACCCGTTCTCGTTCATGCTTGCGTCGGTGGGGTACGCCTTGACGATGGCCGGAGATGTTGTGATTTCGGCGGTGACGAGGCGGTCGGGGAGGGGAGGGAGGGTGGAGGCGGGGAGTGTAGATGACGAGAAAGAGGCGATCGGCATGCTCATCCGAGTCTGGTGAGGGCCAGTACGTTTGGGGATGCGGTGTTGCTAATTCTCGCGCTTTGTTTTCACTCGGTGTTCGAGGGGATGGCCATCGGAGTTGCAGGTGTGTAGCACTGTTTGAATTCGGTTATCGATCGAGTCTTGTTTCCGTCTAGTACGTACTTTGTTAATTAACCCGGTTTTTTCACGCTTAATTAAACTAGAAGAAATTTATATGAATTAAGGTCCTGTTTGTCAAAGGGTTAAGAAAGATGGATTAAAAAAAAAAGAATTAATGTACTTAGCCCATTCGATAATCTGATGGACTAAATTATTAACCCGTTAAATAAGTTCTATTTTAGTCATTATGATCAGTTTTAGTGTTCGAGAATAACAATGATTTTGACTATTTTCTTTATAATTAGAAGGGTTAACTCTTAATCCTTCTAAATAGGAGTATTAGTAAACCCCTCATTTTGAAAGGTTAACTCATTTTAATCCCTCTAGAGGAGTTAGTTTAACCCTTCTATATTTTTTATGTTTGACAAATTATATATGAAGGGCTAACTCACTTTAAAGTCTTGTATAGATTTTTTGTATTTGGCGGGTTATGAAGGACCGGTTAAGTCTCCATAACCCCTCACTTAGCCCTTTGCCAAACAATACCTTAGCTTTGGTACGTGCACATTCATGTACTTAGCTTTAGTTAACTGGTATATTATTATTAATTAAGGTGGAGCGTCTAGATCACTAGCTATGATTTGGATATTTGAAGGTCGTGACAGTTTATATGTTTGACTTAACATGTTAGGAACACACCAACTAATTAAGCATGTGAAGGCGCACACCGATACTAGCTTTAAGGGTAAATTCCAAAATGAAAGAAAAACAAAAAAAATAAAAAAGTGAGGTACTTTTTTTTTCAGCTGAACCCAAAACGCTAGAAAATTTCACTTGAATCAAGTTCTGTCAGAGAACAATCAAAACTAAACCATTATTTGACATGTCATGCGCAAAACACATGCTGAACAAGACCAAAATACCCTTCATCTTTTAGGGGGGAAAAATATTAATGTCTTGCTTATATTTTTTAGAAATGATAGGGGCACACCCTCTACCACACCTCCAACCACACCATCTCTCTCACTACAGTACACCGGGCCCACATGAGATTTTATTTAATAAAATCTCATGTGTGCCCGATGTACTGTAGCGAGAGAGATGGTGTGGTAGAGGGTGTGCCCCTAGTGCCTCTCAAAATCATTTTCCTTTTTGCATGTTTCCCCTTCTGACCGCTCGTGGGAGCTCCCGGTCCCCAAAATTTCCTTTTGCTGATTTTTATCATCTAAAGCCCTAAAGTGATGCTATTTTCTGAAAGACTTTCGTGGAAGTTAAGCGAAAAAAATTAAAACATTTCATGGATTTTCTAGATTTCCTAATTAAGCTTATTGGGGGCTAACAGAAAAACAACCAAACTTATTGGGGACTTTGTGAAATAATTTACCTTTTCTTTTAATTAATGGATTAACTAGTGCCACTTCGTTCCCGCGTGTGTTTAGAAGTAATCACCATTTGACTATAGTGTTGGATAGCAGTATTCCTATTATATTAGGATTCCTAATCTATTTTGGCAACATGAGGCTATTAGGATTCCTAATCTATTTTGGTAACATGAGGTTATTAGGATTCCTAATTTGTTTTGGTAACAGGTTATTAGGATTCCTAATTTGTTTTGTTTTTGGTTTTAGGATTCCTAGTCTGTTTTTGGTTTTAGGATTCCTAGTTTGTTTTGGTTTTAGGTTTTCTATATATATGGAACATTAGGATCATCAAAGAGAGGAGAGTTGTAATCAGATATTAGAGAGACTTTTGAGCATTGTGAGAGTGAGATATTGTGAGCAAGTTGAGAGCTTTCGTTGAGGGTTAGTTTGTGAGTTTTGTGAGATTGCAACCCTTTGTACTCTCCTTGATTTAGTGGAATCTTCACATCCTCTCCCCGTGGACGTAGACTATTTGCCGAACCACGTAAAATTTGTTGTCTCGCTATTTGTGTGATTTGTAATAGTTTATTTAGGTTTCCTTGACAAGTCAGTCCTAGAACTGATGAGAGGAAGAGCCGATATCCCATTTTGTTTAGATATTTTACTTAACGTTCTTGTTTCCTTGGTGAAATAAGAATTCCTATTGCGACCCGGCTCTCTTATTGTGTTGTCGAAGTGCTGCCGAAATTTCTGTTGCGCGCAACAAGTGGTATCAGAGCACTACAAGTGGTATCAGAGCCCAGATTTCAGATCTAGGGTTTTGGAATTAGGTGGAGAAAGATTCTTGTGTGAAACTTAGTTCTTGGAGTTCTTGGCTTCGGTGAAGATAGCATTAGGAGTTGTCGTTAGAGATTTTGCTTTTCTCGTGTGGACAGGAAATCTATTTGGAATCCGATCTAGGGTTCAGTTAGGTAATTCTTAATTTTTATCAAAGTTTGATTCTTTCTCTATAACTTGGAGTTAGTTTGCAATGGGAGAAAAAGGTGAAAGCAGCAAGTCGATGGCGAGTACAGTTCAAATTGGTTTTCAAAACACCAAAATTAGTGTGGTGAAGTATGACGGTAAAATCAACTTTGGTTTATAGATGAGCGATGTACAGGATGCACTCAATGCTCAGAACTTGGAGGAGACCATTATGGTCCACGAGAGACCACCAAAGTATGAAGAGGTGATATGGAAAAAGATGAATAGGAATGCTTGTGGGGTGATTAGATCATGTTTAGAACAGGAGCTGAAGTATGATGTGATTGTGGTGACGTCTGCGATGAAGATGCGGGAAATTCTTAACAATAAATACCTTACGAAGAGTGTTGAGAACAGGTTGCATTTGCTGCGTAGGTTATTCAGATTCCAGATGTCCAGAGACACCTCGCTTGCGGCTCATGTGAACAACTATACGAAGTTATTGTCGGACTTGGTGAATGTTGATGAGAAGATTTCGGATGAGTACAAGGCTATTATCTTATTGTGTTTCTTGTCGGATGAGGAGTATAGCACCTTTGTGCTCACTTTGTTGAACGGGGGATCTTCTATCAACTATAGTAAAGTTACTAATGCATTGACGAATTATGATTTGATGAGGAAGAACAAGGAGACTTTCTGTGCTAGTACTTCAGGCGAGACCTTATCGACGAGAGGTAGAAGCCCATATCTGAAAGATGGTAATAGAGAAAGGTCAAAATTAAGAGGTCATCACTAGCTAGGAAAGAACCAATGTGCATTCTTCAAGAAGCAGGGATATTAGAAAAGATATTGTCCAAATCAAAGAGAAGGAGAATAGCAAGAAAAAGGGCTCGAATGCCAATGAGGTGAATATTACGAAAGGCGAAGATTCCGATGATTCGAGCTTTTCTTTACTGATTACTCCGGAGGTAAACCACTTGGATGCATCAGATTAGATGCTTGATTCCGGTGCTACCTATCATGTGACCCCTAGGCGAGATTGGTTTGCATCTTTTGAGAATCTCGATTGGAGAGTTATAGTCATGGGAAATGATCAGTCTTGTGGCATTTGTGGGATAGGTATCATACGGATTCGGATACACGATGGAGTAGTCTGTGAATTGAAAGATGTGAGATTTGTTCCTCAGCTGAAGAATAATCTTATCTTACTTAGAGTTTTGGAGGCGAAGGGATTCAAGGTGACCTTTGAGGATGCTGTAGCAAAGGTTACTAAGCGATCTTTAGTGGTGATGAAGCGAGTCCGCAATCAAAATTTATACTATCTGAAGGGGAGCACCGAGATTGACCAGGTTGCTTCCGCTATTTCAGAGACGAACATGAGCAGGCTTTGGCATTATAGGTTGGGGCACACAGAAAAGAAGCCACTGCAGGCTTTGTGCAAACAAGGACTATTGAAGGAAGCCAATAATAGTAAAGTGGAATTCTGTGAGTACTGTGTTCTTGGCAAAAAGATAAAGGTGAAGTTCGGGATGGCCATTCATAGGACGAGGGGCATCCTGGACTACGTGCACACAGACGTTTGGGGTCCCACCAAGAATGCATCACTTGGTGGTAGACATTGGTTCATTACGTTCGTTGATGACTATTCTAGACGATGTTGGGTGTACACCATAACAAAGAAGAGTGAAGTCCTATATATATTCGTGAAGTGGAAGAAGAGATTGAAACTGCAGACTGGGAGAAAGATCAAGACGTTGTGATCCGAAAACGGTGGTGAATATACTTCAGACCCCTTTCAGCAGCTATGTCGAGACGAGGGCATAGAGAAACACTTCATGGTTAGTCATACACCGCAGCAGAATGGGGTGACAGAGAGGTTAAATCGGTCTTTGCTAGAGAAGCTCCAATGTTTATTATCACAGAGTGGTTTGGAGAAGATTTTTTGAGCTGATACACTTACATATGCGAGCCATATTATTAATAGGCTGCCTTCATCTGTGATTGAGGGGAAGACCCCTATGGAGATGTGGTCAGGAGAGCCAGCACACGGTTATGACCAGCTCAAGGTATTTGGGTACCTTGGATTTTATCATGTGAGAACAGATAAATTGGAGCCTCTAGCAAGGAAGACCATATTTGTAAGATTCAAGCATGGTGTCAAGGGATACAAGCTATGGGATCCAGTTGATAGGAAGATTGTGCTGAGTAGAGCAAGGGATACAAGCTATGGGATCCAGTTGATAGGAAGATTGTGCTGAGTAGAGACGTCACGTTCGATGAGGCTTCTATCTTGAAGGGATCCAGTTGATAGGAAGATTGTGCTGAGTAGAGACGTCACGTTCGATGAGGCTTCTATCTTGAAGCTTTCTAGTTCTCATCAGGTGAAGAGCGACCCGACAGAGGAGATATCACAGGTGGTGGAGATCGGTGCAGTTTCACATTATCCAGATGGTACAATATCCATTAGAGTACCGACTGAGGTGACGCCAAGTGAGCACGATGGTGACACGGAGGATACGGGTACTGATATGCAGGATCAGGGACCGACGACTCAAGTTCAGAATTCTATTGCGGTTCGGAGACAGAGGAGAGACATACAGATGCCAACACAGTATGCCGACACAGTTGCGTATGTACTTCTGGTGGAGAGTATCAATGAGATTATGCCTACTACATTTAGAAAGGCCGAGCAGAGTTCAGAGGCTGATTCGTGGCAGGTAGCTATGCAGGAGGAGATAGAGTCTCCTCATAAGAACGATACATGGGAGCTGGTTGAGCTTCCAAAGGGACGGAAGATAATTGGTTGCAAGTGGGTATACACGAAGAAGGAGGACATTAAGGGCACTCTATTGAGGTTCAAGGCTAGGTTGATTGCGAAGGGTTATGCACATGAGGAAGGTATTGACTATAATGAGGTTTTCTCTCTGGTGGTAAAGCATTTTTCGATTCGGATTTTGCTAGCTTTGGTGGCACAGTATGGTTTGGAGTTAGATCAGTTGGATGTGAAGACCGCATTTCTTCATGATGATCTTGATGAAGAAATATATATGACTCAGCCATTAGGATTCTGAGCTGTAGGGAAGGAAAAAATTGGTTTACAGATTGAAGAAATTGCTATATGGTTTGAAGCAGACTCCTCGATAGTGGTATAGGCGATTTGATGGTTTTATGATTGGTCATTCGTACACTCAGAGCCAGTTTGATCCTTACGTATATTTTCGCAAGTTGAAAGGAGGTGCGTATATCTATTTATTACTTTATGTCGATGACATGTTGGTTGCCTCTATTTTCAGATCTGCTATAGATGAATTGAAGGCACAGCTCTTAAAAGAGTTTGAGATGAATGATTTGGGTGAGGTGAAACGCATTTTAGGGATGGAGATCAGCAAAGAAAAGAAGAAGAGCAGAATTTGTTTGACACATGTGGCTTATTTGAAGAAGGTTCTACAGCGATTTTATGTTAGCATAGATACAAAACCAATTAGTGTACCATTAGGAGCTCATTTGAAGCTTTCAGCTGATCTTTCACCGAAGACAGTTGAAGATCGAGAGTTTATGTCGAAGACTCCAAATGCGAGCGCGGTTGGGAGCTTGATGTACGCGATTGTATGTACAAGGCCAGATTTGTCACAGGCGGTGAACATGATTTCGAGATGCATGCATGATCCAGGAGTGGGTCATTGGGACGTCGTGAGATGGATTTTGAGGTACATTCGAGGTACGCTCAATGTTAGTTTAGTTTATGAGCAGGACACTACAGGTGGGTAGTTATGCATTGGTTATGTATATTCGAATTATGCCGGTGATTTAGATAAGCGACGGTTTATGATGGGGTATGTGTTTACTTTGACCCGTGCGTCGGTGTGTTGAAGATGCACCTTACAGTCGACAGTGGCTTTGTCTACGACGGAGGCAGAGTATATGGTGATTATAGAGACTGTGAAGGAGGCTATTTGACTTCGAGGACTTTTGGAGGAACTTGGTATATCGCAGCGGTCCGTCACTATTCATTATGATAGCATGAGTGCTATCTATTTGACAAAAAATCAGGTTTTTCATGCAAGGACGAAGCATATTGATGTTCGTTATCACTTCGTTCGAGATGTTCTTGAAGATGGTGATGTGGAGATTGTAAAAGTCCACACGAAGGATAATCCGACGGATATGCTCACAAAGATGGTTCCGAGCAACAAGTTTGATCATTGTCGAAACTTGTTGCACATTCGTGATTGTTGAGGTCGTTGACGGCCATGTGGATGAACTACGGGCGGCTTGATCCCTTGGGAGAGGAGGTATGTAGGCAACCACATTGGTGCAGCCGAATTTGATGAGACGACGCATTTGTGCTCATGTTGGTGTCGGCTCAGTTTTGGGAATACTTCGTCGAGGTGGAGAATTGTTAGATAGCAGTATTCCTAATCTATTAGGATTCCTAATCTATTTTGGTAACATGAGGTTATTAGGATTTCTAATCTATTTTGGTAACATGAGGTTATTAGGGTTTTGGTAACAAGTTATTAGGATTCCTAGTCTGTTTTGTTTTTTGTTTTAGGATTCCTAGTCTGTTTTGGTTTTAGCTTTTCTATATATATGGAAGATTAGGATCATCAAAGAGAGGAGAGTTGTAATCAGAGATTAGAGAGACTTTTGAGCATTGTGAGAGGGAGATATTGTGAGCAAGTTGAGAGCTTTGGTTAAGGGTTAGTTTGTGAGTTTTGTGAGATTGTAACCCTTTGTACTCTCCTTGATTTAGTGGAATCTCCTCATCCTCTCCCCGTTGACGTAGGTTATTTGCCGAACCACGTAAAATTGGTTGTCTCGCTATTTGTGTGATTTGTAATAGTTTATTTAGGTTTCCTTGACAAGTCAGTCCTAGAACTGATGAGAGGAAGAGCTGATATCCCACTTTGTTGAGATATTTTGCTTAAGGTTCTTGTTTCTTTGGTGAAACGAGAATCCCTATTGCGACCTGACTCTCTTATTGTGCTGCCGAAATTTCCGTTGCGCGCAACATATAGACTACAATTTATTCACAGTAATCAATTAATCTTCATTAATTACCAGAAATTATACACGCAGGCACCAAGGCTGATGCATGGAGGAACCTATGGACAATCTCCCTCCACAAAATATTGGCCATAGCCATGGGCATCGCACTCCTCCGAATGCTACCGAAGCGACCGTTCTTGACCACCGTCGCCTACTCCCTCGCCTTCGCCGTCTCGAGCCCCGTCGGCATCGGCATCGGCATCAGCATCAACGCTACTACGCAAGGGAATGCCGCCGACTGGATTTATGCCATCTCAATGAGCCTCGCCTCTGGGATATTTATATATGTTGCTATTAACCATCTTATAGCTAAAGGGTTCAGGCCACAGAGCAAGTGTTATTTTGATACCCCCTTGTTTAGGTTTGTGGCGGTTTGTTTTTGTTGGGATCGGAGTGATGGCGGTTGTCATGATTTGGGACTGATTTTGTATGTAGATGCAAATTAATTGTCCGAGATGTTTGTGTGTATAGTTTGAATATATATATGTAAAGGAGTTTCTATTGTTTTGTGAAATGGTATTTTAATGTGAACTATAATTATTGAACTGTTCTGATACCATATCAAATAACAATACCATTGCATACTTTTTTATGAAGATCGTATGATTTGATAGCTATAATTTCAAATTTTAATATTTCCATATTACATCAAAAGTTTGAATTTATAATGAATATCAAGTTATAATTTTACATTTCAAATAATGATTTGGGTTAATCCTACGAAGTTCACGATGAATTTTCTAATATTTCCTCAAACATACATGTCAGTGTAGAAACGACGAAAACATTGGGAAAGAATAGAATTTTTGGAGCAGGCAGAGCTTTGGGTGCTTTCTGGTCGATCGCGAGCTTTGGGGTGGTCGACTGGAAATGTGCATAGCCTCAGGGAGTTTTCTAGACTTGGTGACGGTCGACCGCGACGATTTTGGCGGTCGGCCGCCATCTAGACTTGGTGACGGTCGACCGCGACGATTTTGGCGGTCGGCCGCCAAACCCTGTAATCGATATTGGGTTTATGTCTTTCCGGTCGATCGACCCCCACGATTTCTACGGTCGACCGCCGATCGGGTCAGACCCAGTTTTGGTTTTCCTATTCTGTTTGGGATTAGTGTTTGGTATAAATACAAATACGTTTTAGGGTTTCTGGGGAGTAGTAGAAAAGGTTGTTTTGAGCACAAGAAAGGGACTTTTTTCTGAGCTATTGGTTTAGGGTTTTGTTTGAGAGATTTGAGTGATTTTGTAATCTTTATTTGTACTCTCCCTTCTCTATTAGTGAAAACTCATCTCCTTCTTTCCTCGTGAACGTAGGTAACTTGCCGAACCACGTAAAATTCGTTGTTTGTGTTTGTGCTGTTATTTTTTATTGTGTTTAGTCTTCTCTCTCAGCGTTTGTGTGTTGGTTCTCGGCACCCCAACAAGTGGTATCAAAGCACAACAGTCGGCGCCGAATGACTAAAGTTCATTCAAGGGCGTGGACTTGAATCATCTGTTGGGTGTACCATTAACTAATATATAGCGAACTTATGGTCCCTCAACGGAAACTAGTGTGAGGAAATAAAGTGAGTGGGGACCACGTCCACGATTGCACGAATGCATTTCCGCGTGAAGTGATTTGCAAACCACGTGATGTTTGTGAAATTAGCAGAGCAGTTGCGGATGAAATCGGCCCATGAACGAACACTATAAAAACCAACATCATCAAGCCTAGGGTTTTGTGCGAAGTGGGGGAAAAAGCAGGAGCAAAGGACGGCTGCAGCAAGCGCAAAGCAGAGGTGCGCAGGAGCAAAAGATTTGTGGGTTTTTTGTGCAGTTGTTCTAGGGTTCTGTACATCCCCTTTTTGAGAGAGATAATTGTGTGAGGGGTTAGAGTCCTAGAGCTGACGAGAGGAAGAGCAAATATCCCACTTTGATGGGATATTAGGCTTTCAGATTCTTGTTCCCTTTGAGAAACAAGAATTCTTATCGATCTTTCTCTCTTATTGTGCACCAGAAACTCTGCCGAAATTTCCGCTGCGCACAACAAGTGGTATCAGAGCCCAGATTCCAGATCTAGGGTTTGGTTGGAGGAGTAGATCAATTTGGAGGCCCGTTTAGGACTTCGTTGGTGATAAAGGTGAGATCTTTTGGTAAATACTCTATCTTTCAGTTTTGGATCTATTCTTTGTTCGTTGGTGCGTAAGATGTCGGGGAAAGAAGGTGCTTCGGGAGTCGAGGGTGGTTCTTCTGGCGTGAAGACTATTCAGAGTTTGAATATCCACTCTATGAAGATAGATGTGGAGAAATTTAATGGCACAAACAACTTTGGATTATGGAGATGCGAGGTTTTGGATGCGCTGAACGCGCAGAATTTGGAGGATACATTGGAGTTAGATGGCAAGCCAGATGAGATTGAAGAGAAGGTTTGGAAGAAGATGAATCGAACGGCGTGTGGTGTGATTAGGTCTTGTTTGACTCAAGATCTAAAATATGATGTGATGAATGAGACTTCTGCGAAGAAGATTTGGGAGATTCTCGAAAGCAAGTATTTGACCAAGAGTGTGGAAAATCGCTTGCATTTGAAGAGGAGACTTTATCGTTTCCAGTTGAAGAAGGGAACCTCCATTAGAGATCACATGAACCACTACACAAAGCTTCTTGCGGATTTGGCGAACGTGGATGTTATAATTGAAGATGAGGACAAGGCGTTGCTGTTGTTGAGTTCCTTACCTGACGAGGAATATGAGACCTTTGTTCTTACTTTGATTAATGGAAAGGCGTCCCTTTCGTATAGTGAGGTCACTGCTGCACTTGTGAATTATCAGCTTCGAAAGAAGGATAAGGAGGCTTCAGTTGAGCCAGTAGCGGAGGCGTTGGTCGCAAGAGGGAAGGGTCCAAACCGAAAGAATTGGAAGTCACAGTCTAGAGTAGGAAAAGATCAGTGTGCTTGGTGCAAGGAGACTGGTCATTGGAAGAAAGACTGCCCAAAGCTCGACGAATGGATGAAGAATAAGCAGAAGGGAAAAGGGAAGCAACCATCATCAGAAGCAAACATCGTATCGGATGGTAATAATTCTGACTCTTCTATTTATTCGCTTTCTATCAGTCCTACAGATAGCTATTCGGAGGAATCTGAATGGATGTTGGATAGTGGTGCGACCTATCATGTGTGCCCTAGAAGGGAATGGTTCTCCAGTTTTGAGAAGCTGATGGATAGTGGTATGGTGTACATGGCTGATAACCGTGCATGCCAGACCTTAGGATAGGAAGAATTCGTATCAAAATGTTTGACGGGACTGTTAGGGAGTTAAATGATGTGAGATATGTTCCTTCTTTGAGGAAGAACTTGATCTCGATTGGAGCTTTGGTTGGAGAGGGTCTGAAAGTTCGTGTTGAGGACATGGTTCTCGAGATTGCGAGAGACTCTCGTATTTTGATGAAGGGCGTCAGAAGAAATAACCTATATTACTTGACTGGAGGTATAGTGGCAGGTGGAGAGCTGACGACTTCTGTTGATTCGACTAGACTGCGGCATTTGGGGCTTGGTCATTCCAGTATTGATTCCTCGCATAGATTGAAAGAGGGTGCAAAGACCTGCAGTTTGAAGTCCAGTGAACATGTTGATGTGAGCAAGAAGACCGAGGTGAAATGTGGCACCTCTATTCACCGTGCTAAGGGTCGTTCTGGAGGAGTTCACGTGGATGTTTGGGGGCCTTCCAAGGGGGCATTATTGGGAGGTAATAGGCGTTTGGTTTCCTTTGTTGGTGGCTGTTCTAGGTGTGTTTGGGTTGCAACCAAATCCCCTTTGGAGAAAGTCCTAGTAGTATCCAACAGATTGAAGAAGTGTGTAATAGACAGAAAGGTGAAGGTACTCCATTCTGGTGGGAGGTACAAGATGGACCTATTTCTGTATTGGAGCCGAGCTCACGGCATTTCAAGACACTTCATTGGAAAGAAAATCTTGGGGCAACTAAATAGGGTGACAAATTTGGAGAACCGTGCCTTACTGGAGGAGGATTGGTGTTTGTGGTCGAGCAATGATTTGCAGAAGAGTTTCTGGACAGAGGTTTCGACATATTTGGGTCATCCTATTAAAGAGTTGTCAACTGCTGTGATTGGAGGTATAACTCTATTGGAAGATAGGTCTGATTGTGTCACTTTGGATGAGGCTTCGATGAGGAAGCCAATTGACTCTCAGCAGGTGGAGAGTTTTGGACAGACCTTAGAGGTATCGCAGCGGGTGGAGAGTGATGCTACTCCACATTGGGTAAAGATTACTCCAGATCATTCTGCATTGGTTGGGATTCCAGCTGAGGTGACACAGCGTGGGAGTCATTTGGATTCGGATGCGGATGATGAGTTGGGTTTTGATTCGAGTGCAGCTGATAGATGCAGTTTGGATATGACCATTGGCTCACCTCAGGTGGAGGTGTTTGAGGACATTGGAGGTGCTATCAGCCGTAGAGTTTATGATATTAGAGAAGGGTTGCGAACTCTTCTAGTGGATTGAGGCCTTTGGAGGCCATTTGGGTGAACTACGTTCGGCTTGATTCCTTGGGCAAGAGGATACGTAGGCAGTCTTTATGATGCAGCCGGGTTGGATTATTTGATGGGGGTGAGATCGATTTGGTGAGTTGATACTGACATTTAGAGAGTGTTTGCATTCTCATTTGGGTTCTCGACTTGTTATGGATTGAGTCTGCTGTCGTGAATTGTTTCACGGTGTACTGGACACAACAAGTGAGACATTTGGTTTGGTTGGTGTCGGCTCAGTTTTGGGAAAACTTCGCCGAGGTGGAGAATTGTGAGGAAATAAGTGAGTGGGGACCACGTCCACGATTGCACGAATGCATTTCCGCGTGAAGTGATTTGCAAACCACGTGATGTTTGTGAAATTAGCAGAGCGGTTGCGGATGAAATCGGCCCATGAACGAACACTATAAAAACCAACATCATCAAGCCTAGGGTTTTTTGCGAAGTGGGGGAAAAAGCAGGAGCAAAGGACGGATGCAGCAAGCGCAAAGCAGAGGTGCGCAGGAGCAAAAGATTTGTGGGTTTTTTGTGCAGTTGTTCTAGGGTTCTGTACATCCCCTTCTTGAGAGAGATAATTGTGTGAGGGGTTTGAGAGATTGTGTGAGGGTTTAAATTTGAGAGATTATAAACCCTATTTATATTCTCTTTATAGTAGCAAGACTCTTATTGTTGGATTTAATCTAATAAATCTATTTGTGGGCACATATGATTAATCAATGTGTATTGCTATCTTTTAGGATAACCCACTAAAGTGATCAATCAAGTTGGGTTAATGGGTATTTAAATAAGTCATGGGGTTATATGTGCAGATACCAGGTTGTAATTGTGATTTGTTGAGGGGCCAAATTATAAAAGTACAATATCTATAAATAAGGGGTTATGGTCCCTAATCTAGGGTTACATTCTCTAATTCTCTTCACCCCCATCTAGAGAGAAATTCGGCTAGAGAGAACCCTAAGGTTAGAAGATCAAAACTCATC